GTTTTCCAGGTGCCTTGGGGGTTATTCTGCAACAAAATTTTTTGCTTTTTTCCTCCATTTTAGGTGCCCTTTAAATTTAATCCCCCCGGGCAAATTTGGGTGCAGGAGCTGGAAAGGGTTTTCCCGACAGTGGCTTTTTAAACTGTTCCCGAATTTGGGGTGTTGCTCGGGGGCTTGTAGATATCACAATGCTAGGGTTTTGGTTCTGACTTTTCTGCTAAAACTTTCCCCTACATCATTTGAGGCATTTTGAGTTCTGTGCAAAAAAAGTGATCTGCAAAATAAGGCCAAAACCCCCCCCTTTTTTGGGTTTACTCTTCACATCGTATAGGTTAACCTGGGATCCAATTTCGTTGTCCAAGTGACCCTTTATTGGGTTCATGAAACCCGCGAACATTCCCTTTGCCTCTCAACAGTCCAGGATGAAAGGTATTTTGTTTGTTGTGTAGTGTGTGTTGTGTAGTGTTGTGATGTAGTGTTTGCAGTGTTTTTTGTGTATGTTTGAGTGTTTGGGCATTATGTTTTGTGTAGTGTTGTGCAGTGTAGTGTTGGTATGTTGTGCATGTAGTTTTTGTGTTGTTGTGCAGGGTAGTTTGTGAGTTTTTGGGGCATGTAGTTTTGTGCATGTATGTTGTGTAGTGTTGTGCAGTGTAGTGTTGGGTAGTGTTGTGCAGTATGTTGGCGTGTATTTGTGTATGTTGTGCATGTAGTGTTTGTGCAGTTAGTGTTGTCTATAGTGTTGGTAGTGTTGTGCTGAGTGTTGTGTAGGTTGTGCAGTGTAGTGTTGTGTGTGTTGTGCAGTGAAATGTTGTGTAGTTTTTGTGCAGTTATTTGTGTAGGTTTTTCAGTGTAGTGTTGTGTAGTGTTGTGCAGGTGTGTTGTGTAGTTTTTGCAGTGTAGTTTTTGTGTAGTGGTGCAGGGGAGTTTTGTGAGTGTTGTGTAGTGTTGTGCAGTGTAGTGTTTCCCTGGAGATTTCCTGGAGAAGTTCCCGGGGGAAACCCCCCCGGGGCCCGGTCTGTGACCACCTCCGGGTGGATCAACCCTGATAACCAGGTTTTGCTGCTGGTGCAAGCAAACCAACTCCCCACCACAGCCCGGCTGACCCAACTGACTTAGGTGCTTGCCCCAGTGCCAGCTTAAGACTGCCAGGGGTCTTTTTGGTAACCCCCTTATGTGTGCGGGAGGCAGTTAAAACAGTCTCGGGCCCCTACATTATTGTTTTGTCTTTTAAAACGTGCTAGTGACACCCCGTTTTTTCAGGGGGGGGGATGGCATCGCTGCCAAGCTTTGCTTTCGTAGTGAGTGATTTTGGGGTGCAAGTTCGGTATAGTCCCCCTGGGATTTTTTCCAGGTGTATATAATCGTACTCTCCATCCCGCTTCCAGGGGAAACAGGTTTGAAAATCAAGCGCTCCCCGTAATTGAGGGGTTTTTTTTCTCCCTTAAGCGCGCCGTAAAAATTTTCTGTACATTTTCTAGGGCGGCAATTCACCTGCCTTGAAGGTCTGTTAGAGGGAGCAAAATTTCCACCTGAAGAACAAATGATGAAGGTGTATCATGGCTTGGCCCCCTAGTTTTGAAGGTTCTCATTTTTCCCTCCCGTCATTTTCTAGAAATCGATTGCACAAGTTATGGCCTTGAAGGTAGTCCTCCGACATAATCACTCCCCCGGTCTTTGACGTTGGTGTTTCGCTCTATTTTGTGGCCAGAATTTTTTTTGTACTCTGATGAAGATTTAATTTCCTCATGTTTACCATATCTGAGTAATTGAAATTTCTCATCGTTGAACTTCATATTGTTTTCCGCAGCCTCTGAAAGATTTGGTTGATGTCCGCCTGGAGCCTTGCAGTGTCTGCAATGGAAGACACTGTCATGCAGATTGGGTGTCATCTGCAAAGGAAGACACGGTGCTGTGGCTGACATCCTTGTCTATGTCGGTATGAGGATGAGGAACAAGATGGGAGCTAGTACTGTGCCTGTGGAACAGAGCTTTTCACCGTAGCTGCCTCGGACTTTACTCTGTTGACGACTACTCTCTGTGTTCTGTTAGTGAGGAAATTATAGATCCATCGACGACTTTTCTGTTATTCCTTTAGCACGCATTTTGTGCGCTATTACGCCATGGTCACACTTGTCGAAGGCTTTTGCAAAGTCTGTATATTTACATCTGCATTCTTTTTGTCTTCTAGTCCATTTAGGACCTTGTCGTAGTGATCCAATAGTTGAGACAGACAGGAGCGACCTGTTCTAAAACCCATGTTCCCCTGGGTTGTGTAACTGATGGGTTTTAGATGGGTGGTGATCTTGCTTCTTAGGACCCTTTCAAGATTTTTATGATATGGGATGTTAGTGCTATTGGTCTGTAGTTCTTTGCTATTGCTTTACTGCCCCCTTTGTGGAGTGGGGCTATGTCTGTTGTTTTCAGTAACTGAGGGACGCCCCCCGTGTCCATGCTCCCTCTCCATAGGATGGAAAAGGCTCGTGATAGGGGCTTCTTGCAGTTCTTGATGAACACAGAGTTCATGAGTCTGGCCCTGGGGGAGAGTGCATGGGCATGTCATTTATCGCCTGTTCGAAGTCATTTGGCGTCAGGATAAAATCGGATAGGCTTGTGTTAATCAAATTTGTGGCTCTCTCATAAAAAATTCATTTTGATCTTCGACTCTCAGTCTGGTTAGCGGTTGCTACAAAACTGAGTCTATTGGGACTTGAGTAGCTCACTCATTTCCTTGCTGTCATCTGTGTAGGCCCCATTGTTTAAGTAGGGGCCCAATACTGGACGTTGTTCTCGATTTTGATTTGGCATAGGAGAAGAAATACTTTGGGTTTCTTTCGATTTCATTATGGCTTTTAGTTCTTCCCGCGATTCCTGACTCCTAAAGGATTCTTTTAGCTTAAGTTCGATGCTTGCTATTTCTCTGACCAGTGTCTCCCTACGCATTTCAGATATATTGACCTCTTTTACCCGCTCTGTTATTCTTTTCCGTCGCCTGTAAAGGGAGCGCCTGTCTCTTTCTATTTTACATCTACTCCTCCTTTTTCTTAGAGGAATAAGCCTTGTGCATACATCGAGTGCCACCGAGTTAATCTGTTCTAGGCATAAGTTGGGGTCTGTGTTGCTTAGTGTATCTTCCCAGTGTTGTGTAGTGTAGTGTTGTGTAGTGTTGTGCAGTGTAGTGTTGTGTAGTGTTGTGCAGTGTAGTGTTGTGCGTGTAGTGTTGTGCAGTGTAGTGTTGTGTAGTGTTGTGCAGTGTAGTGTTGTTAGTGTTGTGCAGTGTAGTGTTGTGTAGTGTTGTGCAGTGTAGTGTTGTGCAGTGTAGTGTTGTGCAGTGTAGTGTTGTGTAGTGTTGTGCAGTGTAGTGTTGTGTAGTGTTGTGCAGTGTAGTGTTGTGTAGTGTTGTGCAGTGTAGTGTTGTGTAGTGTTGTGCAGTGTAGTGTTGTGTAGTGTTGTGCAGTGTAGTGTTGTGTAGTGTTGTGCAGTGTAGTGTTGTGCAGTGTAGTGTTGTGTAGTGTTGTGCAATGTAGTGTTGTGCAGTGTAGTGTTGTGCAGTGTAGTGTTGTGTAGTGTTGTGCAGTGTAGTGTTGTGTAGTGTTGTGCAGTGTAGTGTTGTGTAGTGTTGTGCAGTGTAGTGTTGTGTAGTGTAGTGTTGTGCAGTGTAGTGTTGTGTAGTGTAGTGTTGTGCAGTGTAGTGTTGTGTAGTGTTGTGCAGTGTAGTGTTGTGCAGTGTAGTGTTGTGTAGTGTTGTGCAGTGTAGTGTTGTGCAGTGTAGTGTTGTGTAGTGTTGTGCAGTGTAGTGTTGTGTAGTGTTGTGCAGTGTAGTGTTGTGCAGTGTAGTGTTGTGCAGTGTAGTGTTGTGTAGTGTTGTGCAGTGTAGTGTTGTGTAGTGTTGTGCAGTGTAGTGTTGTGTAGTGTTGTGCAGTGTAGTGTTGTGTAGTGTTGTGCAGTGTAGTGTTGTGTAGTGTTGTGCAGTGTAGTGTTGTGCAGTGTAGTGTTGTGCAGTGTAGTGTTGTGTAGTGTTGTGCAGTGTAGTGTTGTGCAGTGTTGTGCAGTGTAGTGTTGTGTAGTGTTGTGCAGTGTAGTGTTGTGTAGTGTTGTGCAGTGTAGTGTTGTGCAGTGTAGTGTTGTGCAGTGTAGTGTTGTGTAGTGTTGTGCAGTGTAGTGTTGTGCAGTGTTGTGCAGTGTAGTGTTGTGTAGTGTTGTGCAGTGTAGTGTTGTGCAGTGTAGTGTTGTGTAGTGTGTGGCAGTGTAGTGTTGTGTAGTGTTGTGCAGTGTTGTGCAGTGTAGTGTTGTGTAGTGTTGTGCAGTGTTGTGCAGTGTAGTGTTGTGTAGTGTTGTGCAGTGTAGTGTTGTGCAGTGTAGTGTTGTGTAGTGTAGTGTTGTGTAGTGTAGTGTTGTGCAGTGTAGTGTTGTGTAGTGTTGTGCAGTGTAGTGTTGTGTAGTGTTGTGCAGTGTAGTGTTGTGTAGTGTTGTGCAGTGTAGTGTTGTGTAGTGTTGTGCAGTGTAGTGTTGTGTAGTGTTGTGCAGTGTAGTGTTGTGCAGTGTAGTGTTGTGCCGTGTAGTGTTGTGTAGTGTTGTGCAGTGTAGTGTTGTGTAGTGTTGTGCAGTGTAGTGTTGTGTAGTGTTGTGCAGTGTAGTGTTGTGCAGTGTAGTGTTGTGCAGTGTAGTGTTGTGCAGTGTAGTGTTGTGTAGTGTTGTGCAGTGTAGTGTTGTGTAGTGTTGTGCAGATATTGAAGTGCAGTGTTGTGTAGTGTAGTGCAGTGTAGTGTTGTGTAGTGTTGTGTAAGTAAGTTTATTCAGGTATACACAAATTCAGTTACATAGAATTATCATACATAGCAGCATATGTGTAGAGAACCTGGTGAGATAAAGTGACTTATTTCCATTAGGCAATCAGGAATTTTTCCAGAATAGTTGGCAATATACTTTGTAATTTCTTGAACATTTCAGAGTGAGATTTCTCCGAATTCACTAATTTTATAGCAGTCAATGCATCCACATTATCCATATTTTGAGTGTTGGATGGAAGACTTAACTAACAGCAGGTGATTTAGAGAAACATTGCGCGCCAAAATTGTTTGTCAACAAGATGCCGTCTCAGGAGTTTAATGCAGAATTATTACCTGATCTTCTGCCTGTCTATTATAAAAGGCTCTTCCCATATTCACAATACTACAAGTGGCTTAGTTATGGACTAGGTGAGGAGACGTTTTTGTAAAATATCTTTAATACGGTCTTACCTACCACTATGAAAAAAAAAAGATCTTAGATAAGTCCTTTTCACGATGAATATCATTTTAAATATAATTTTTAGCAATGTTATATTAAGCACATATATGTTATAGTTGTACATTGGTGATTTATTATGAGGATTTAACAAGAGTAGTCAGATAATTCCATTGAGGTCCACATTGTGTGAATCATATTCATACATATTCAAGAAATAATAATGCTACAAATAATACAGATGTATAATCATATGGGTTTAGTGCTCCCCCATGATTATAATAACAATAATACAGATAATACAAATTGAAACTTAAAATTACAAGATTACATATAGTCTACATTACCAGCAATGTTAGTTAAATACTACAGTATTAGTATGTTTATTTAGGTACAGGTACACATAAGTACAATTAGAATACCTAGTAACATATGTGTAAATTACCTAGGATAACGTATTTTATCAATACAACAAAAATATCTCTTTCTTTTCTGTAGCTTTGAGAATTAGATTTCTTTTAACTTGTCTTGATTTACACTATTCTTGTCCCTAACATGATTAGGTAACCCATTATAATCTTTTATTGCTGTATAGAAGGTATATAATTAATGCCCTGCCACATACAGAAGGTATTTCACAAGCATGTTCAGTTCCTCCTGGTATAATATTGATTTTAGTTTCTAACTCTAACACAATTTGAGGTAACATGATCTCTGCACAGTTGCTAGTATTAGTTTTGTAGAATTGATACCTCAGAGCATTTTAAGCTAACATCTGAAAGTACCTGGGTCAAGTCCTGGGTGAGGTGGGATGTATTAGCAAGTCCTGCTGTCCTGTTCACCTAGCAAGCAAGTAGGTACCTGGGTGTTAGAAGACTGGTTTGGGTTGCATCCTGGGGGACAAGATTGAAGAACCTCGACGGAAAATACAGACAGTCTATGATGATGCACCGTCTTTCTTGGGTTATCCTGGGTGACTAACCCTCCGGGTTAGAAATCCAAACAAATCTTATCGTAGGTTAATGAATAAAACAAGTGTTGCAGATGTGTCTTAATCATCAACTTATCATTACTGTATACCATCAATAGTAGTGTATCCTAGGTTAAGCACAGTAAGTTTTTTCAGGTACAGGTACACAAAAATACAGTTATATAAAGTATCATGCATAGCAGCATATGTGTACATTACCTAGGATAACTCCCCAAAAAAGTCGAAGTGAGTAATTTCCATTGATGTAATTTATTTCATCTATGTGCCTATGCATCACGTAATAATCCTGTGCTTAATGCAAACATTGTTGAAGTTCAGAACAGCAGCCCTTTTAAATACCTGTTGAATGAGGCATGTTTATTTACAAAGTTCTCACTTTCTTGCAGTTCCGTTCAACTATTTCCAGAAGCGAGAATTCTCCTTCACCCTCGCTGATGACATATACATTCGCTACCAGTCCTTTAAGGATGAAGAGGATATGGAGAAGGAGATTAAGAAGCATTGTCCATATAAAATTGATATTGGAGCTGTCTACTCATCTAGGTATGAAAATTATATGTGGGTGTATTGCATTATTGACAGCTTTTGAACTAGTGTCACTTCAGTAGGGTGCCCTTATGCTTGTGAGGAGCTCCTAATCCAAGGAATTGAAGCTGTCTTTTGCTTTCTTGGATCAAAACTGGATATCTTCTATTCTCCTTTAGTGCTTTCACATGAATATTGTCACAGTAATAGAGTAATAGTGAATGTGTACCCTTCTTTGGGTCACCCTTCATTGTTAGGAAATGGCTACTGTGGTACTGCACTGTGGTAGGAAAAAATTATTCTGTTATACTATAGTATCCTTTCTTATCTTGTTTATTCATTTTATCCCGTGACCTTTTATTCCGTGATGATTATTACTGATATAGGCTGTTATTTATCGTGTTGAAAGTCGAATGACAAAATTTTTGTCGGTCTTTAAAAAGAGGATTTTTGAACTTCAGGTTTTGTTTTCTTTTGCTCTTTCTTTTGCTTTCTTTTGCACAACATTCTTGTTGCTATTGTTTATTTGGATTCCATGTCAGCACATTTTTGGAATGCTTGGATTCTAAAATCTAATTGTTTAGTTTGCTAATAACTCAGTTTCCTTAGCATGTTTCATTTATATTTTACCCATGTGCAACATCTGGGTATCTTTATTACTAGACGTTTCACCAACCAGTAGCTTTATCAATACAGTTTTATTGATAAAGTCACTGGTTGGTGAAATGTCAACAAATAAAGATACACAGATTTATTACAATATACGGTACACTGCTGCATAAACATTTAAGAATATACCAGAAATGTTATAAATGGTGCAACGGTGACATTGAAACAATATCAAAGATGGTTGACACAAACCCACTACCATTATAGTATATTCCTCACTTAGCAAAGATTCATTTACCGACATGGTCTTAGGGATGGAACTCCATTGTTAAGTGAGGAGAGGCTGTACCATTTATGTACAACTACATATTTAACCCTCCCATGGTCTGTGATTTAGTACTACAGTTTTGAGCTCAGCTTATCCAGATAAGCTGTGAATGATAAATTTTGGCCTAGATATGAGAGAATGGGTCTATGCAGTGAGTGTGCATCATATAAAAAAATCCTGCCCCATGCAATGCATGATGGGAAAACAAAACTTTGGCTGTGTATATGGTTTCAATTAGTGAGTTTGCAGTGTCCAACTGGCCAGTCTAATATGCATTCACAAATGTGCTGACATTATTTATATAATTACAGTATTACAATAATACAGTAAATTTTCTAATTTTTTTTTGTGTGAATATTCAAAATGGACAGCAAATGTAATATAAGAGAGGCCTGGGGATGTAACTAATGAACAGGGGAAATATTGTTTAGTGCCAGAAATATTTATATTGTTTATTCTGGACCCTGTTTTTAAATTGGCATTTTTTAATTTTGTGTGAAATTAGCCAAATTACCAATTTCTGATCACTTTATTTGGTAGTTGAAATAGTTAAATGGGCAGTTTCTTGTGCTCAGTTGATAGAATGGAAGGCATACTAGCAAAGTAACTGTTTGGTCGACTGGAACAGTGGAATTGGTCTAAAATAGGACTCAAATCGGTGAAATTGCTGGTGTGTAAATATTACTGAGACCGCAAAATTTGTGAAGCGTAATTCCATAAGTTTTCCATCAAATTTGGTACTTTTGGTGTCATTGCTTTCAGAAAAAGATTCTTTTATCATTTCATAAGATTTTTTTTTTTTTGGTGACCCTGAGAAAAAGTCTCAGATCAAGGGGTCTTGACCCTGAAACGGTTACTCATTCAGTATTATTTTGAAAATAGAGAATCTGTGAAATAGCGCCTGTCTTTGCTTTGATAGCAGATATTGAACAGTCATTGTATTTGCATTTTGGGAAGTATATGACTTCCTGCATATTTAATAAGCAAATATTATTATTTAAAATGCACATAGTTTAAAATATTGTACATATTTTGTCATTTTGATTATTTTTGACATTTAAAAATTTGTCTAACCCATGGCCAGTATACATGGCATAGCCTTCTTTGTGTGTGTGTGTGCCACAAATCCACAAATTGGTTATTGCAATATTATTAATGTATCTCTATCATATTTTTTTACAATTTCAGGCCAAAGGATCATCGAGCAGTCGCAATATTTACACCACAAGAGAAAGAACTTGTGTTTGATATTGATATGACTGATTATGATGAGGTAAGTCACAATATTACTGTATAATTATATTCATAGGGAAGTAAGATCAGATTTATTTGAATTTTTAGCCTTGAGGGTTAGCCACCCAGGATAACCCAAGAAAGTCAGTGCATTATTGAGGACTGTCTCTACAGGATGCAACCCACACCAGTCGACTAACACCCAGGTATGTACCTATTTACTGCTAGGTGAACAGGGATGGCAGGTGTAAGGAAAATGTCCAACATTTCAACCCATACTGGAGATTGAAGCACTGATACTCAGTATGTGAGGCAAGAGTGTTGCCAGCTGAGCCATGGGACACTGTGCTAGTCAAGTTTGACTTGAAGAATAGGAGGGTAGTTGTAGTTTTTCAGGGAGGGTAGCTACAGTTCTTGAAGGAGGTTAGCTGTTGGAAATAAATGGTATAAAATACTTACACAATGGAAATATGAACACTTATTCAGTGTAATGTGATCCTTTATTGACGATGTTTCGCCCACATAGTGGGCTTTATCAAGTCACAAACAGATCTACCTGGGTGGAAGGTACGTGAGTATATATAGGGTGAGGTCAGGTCGAGAATGCTGCATGTGACAATCTACTGAGTAAGTTTATAGAGTCTAATACCTTGGGTAGCTTGGAAGGATAAGTATATGAGTAGACCTTCTGCAGTGTTCCTCCATTCTTATGTTCTTCATTGCTATCCCTCATAAGAACATAAGAATGGAGGAACACTGCAGAAGGTCTACTCATATACTTATCCAATTTCTCTTCCAAGCTACCCAAGGTATTAGACTCTATAACCCTACTCGGTAGATTGTCACATGCAGCATTCTCCACCTGACCCGGCATTCTCATCCTGACCTCATCCTATAAATACTCACGTACCTTCCACCCAGGTAGATCTGTTTGTGACTTGGTAAAGCCCGCTGTGTGGATGAAACGTTGTCAATAAAGGATCACGAGGTTAGCTGTTGCTCTTAGGGAGGGTAGTTGTAGTTATTCAGATTAAAAGCCCGTCAACCTCTGAGTAGTAAGACTTGAAACTCATGAAAGGTATATCAAAGGTAAAAGTAATTTCACAGCATCTTCCTTGAAGGGAGTAGGTCACGTTAAAATGATATCCATATACAGTGAACCCTCGACCAACGATGGCATTGTATAACGTTAAATCCGACTAGCGATACATTTTAACGCTAACATTTTGCCTTGACTAACGCTAACATTTTACCTCGACTAATGCTAAAAAAAACTCGACTAACAATATTCGTTCTCGGGTACCAATTAATATCGTTAGTCGAGGGTCCACTGTATATCATCTTGCTTAATTTGATTCTGCATTTTTTCTATTCATGTATATCACAATAATTTGTATTCGTTTTGTATTTGTGACTTATGCAGGTTCGAACTTGTTGTTCTGGAGCCGCGATATGTCGGAAGTGCTGGAAATTCATGACCATTGCTGTCAAGATCTTGGAGTCTGCTCTTAGACGTAAGATAGTCAATGCTGTTGTATAGTTTTCTGCTATTATTGGTATTTATTTTATTTGGTTGCTTCTTTTCGAAGTGCTGCCATGTAGGATATATTAAAATTATCCCTTTCAATGTGCAGAAACAAATTATGATTAATTTTTTTTATAGAATAGCTTTAAGGATTTAATTTTTTTTATAAAATAGCATTAAGGATTTTAATAGTACACAGTATCATTAAGGTGATGGAGTGAGTGATGATGAAAATGTTTCTTCTTTCTTGGGTCACCCTGCCTTGGTGGGAAATGGCCGATGTGTTAATAAAAAAATCATTAAGGTGGGCAAAAATTAGGGTTAAATAAGATTTTATTTATAATTAGCTAATAATGTGGCAAGCTAAATGGTAAAGGTTATGAATTTGATGGAATGGTGGAATTTGAGGAAATGGTTGTGTTGAATGTGGGTAATCTATGTGCAATCTACATCTACAGGACCTTAAATTCCAATATTAACCTTGACCTAAAATGCTTTCTTGATAGTTGTGACAGAACCCACAGGCACAACACCAGACACAAACATCTCTATGACATTCCGTGTCCGACTAAACCTTTACAAAAATTCAGTGTATGTCAAAGGCCCTAAAATCTGGAACACCCTACCTGAAAATTCTAAAACTGCAGACACATTCATCACCTTCAAAACTACCATCAGAAAACATCTTATCTCCCTGATACACCCTGTCAACTAATTACACGAATACCACCTGGTGGTTAACACTTACACTCACTCACCCATTTGACCATAAACAGAAATATCAATCTCAAGCTCAAAATAATGTATCTTAACTAGTCATAAGTTGGCCTGTGATACTCCAATACTGAAACTATGTATAGTGCCAAAACAAAAGCATTCACATTGCTAAACTCACAAACTAGTATTTAGTCACTTAGCCATAATACCAACTCGCCTCATAATTTTGTAATATTTTAAACTTAAGATTTGATTTAAGTCTGCCTGAAATGCCTAGCCATGCTAGGTGTTCTAGTGGTACACTCTGTAATTATTATTTTACTACATGTAAACCACACAATAACCAAATTCTGTAAACTCAGCATTGTAATCCTTATAGAGAATAAACTTTGAATTGAATTGAATTGAATTGAAGGTAAAGGCAAAATAGAGAAGGATGCTGAAAGTGAGCTAGGGAGAAAATAGGGAGAGGTGGTGGTCAGCAACTTACAGATGTTCTTACACACATCAACACTTACAAACTGGCCACTGAGGAACCAGTTACAGAAGGGTCCCACATATACAGCACTTATTTGCGGTGTTCCACATTTTTTGTTAGCTTTCAGTTGAGCCATCATTCATCATGTTCAGTGTTTATACTGCTGCACCACCATTATTGCCATTTTTGTACAACAGTTACATAAGAAAAGGACCACCGGCATCTTATTAACCCCTTGACTGTTGCAACCCCAAATCCTGAGGTGTCTCCTGGTGTCGAAAAATTTTTGAAAAAAAAAAAAAATTATTTGTTCTTATGAAGTGATAGAGAATCTTTTCCCGATGGTAATGACACCAAAAGGACAAAATTTGATGGAAAACTTATGGAATTATGCTCTCAGCGATATTTATGAATCGGCGATTTTGCCCACTTTGAGCCCTATTTTTAGCTAATTCCATTGTTCCATTCGACCAAACTCATAACTATTTCTTTAGAACTCCATTTGTTCTATCGATTGAATACAGAAAACTGCCCATTTACAGATTACAACTACCCAGTAATGCGGTCAGAAATTTGCAATTTGGCCAATTTCATGCAAATTAAAAAATATGCCAATTTCAAAATAGGGTCCAGAATGAACAAGGCAGACATTCCTGGCTCTAAAATAACATTATCTTTGTTCATCAGTCATATCTCCAGGCCCCTCTGATATTACTCTTGCTTTCTATTCTGATTTTTATTCAAACAAAAAATAGAAGATTCACTGTTATGCAGACTACTGCAATATTATAACAATTGTATAAATAATGTCAACCCATTCATGACTGCATATTAGAATGGCTAGTTGGACATTTATTGGACAATGACATCATTTGTTTACTTTTGAACATCGGGAAAAATCAAACATTTCTCCTACTTGGAGCTCCATTTCAAGGTTCTTTTCATAGTAAAAGTAAAACCAATCAAAATCACCTCTATTTCTATAATATGTTTTCCATTCTGTCAAATGAGACCAAGAAAATGAGAATGCAACCATAAATACTATACGAAACTGCACCACAAAGTCAGTGTTTTCATCCAAAAACATGGTCGGAGTTTTTTTTTCTCATTGTGCACTGCGTGCTGCAGGATTTTTTTTTTTATATGGTGCACACTGACCACACAGACCCATTCTCTCACATGTGGGCCTACCAGCTTTCTCCTGCTTGATTTGAAGCTGCTAGAATTTTTGAGTATATATACGTCAAACACGGTGGCTCATGAGACGTATATATACGACCGAAACAGTCAAAGGGTTAAGAACCGTATGAATGGGGCCTTACAGTTTTACAACTGCCAAGCTCAGTACAGTGTTGTGAACCATGGCCATCTTTTGTATTGTGCACTGGGTCATACTGCTGATGGTACTGAAGAGAAGACACAGCTAGAGAGGATTCTTTTATTGTGGCAAAGTTTTGCTATGTATAGAAATCTATCAAGCTTTACACAGAACGAAAGTCAAAATAAAATCTTAGTCTGCACCTTTTCTTTATATATTTCAGGGAAGTGTCAACATCATGATCAAAATTAAGTAAGGATATTGCATGCCACCATGGGGAAGTGGAAAAGAATTCTTCCTCTGTAAGCCATGCGTGTTATAGAAGGCTACTAAAATCTCGGGAGCAAGGGGCTAGTGTCCCCTTTTCCTGTATTAATTACTAAATTTAAAAAGGAAAATGTCTGTTTTTCTTTTAAGGTCATCCTGCCTTGGTAGGATATGGCCAGCATGTTGAAAAAAAAATTGTACATGTGGGAAGACTTGCAAACTCTCAGATGAGCATTAGATGGCTTATATCATTTGGGTAGATTTACCTGATGTATTAACACACTTCAATTTGTGACTAGAGGACTTTGGGTATCAGCACATTCTGTGGGTGTACTCTGGTCGTCGTGGCATCCATTGTTGGGTGTGTGATGAAAAAGCCCGTGTGTTGTCACAGTCGGCAAGATCTGCTCTAGCTGAATATCTACAACTGCTTCGAGGAGGTGACAGTCAAGCTAAGAAAGTTAACATTCCGCAAAAGATTCATCCTTCTCTCAAGTAAGTTCTTGAAGAATACTCTTCTTAAGACTAGTGTCTCCCTGGAGGGAATTCCAGGGTCAGTGCCCCCTCGGCCCAGTCTCTGACCAGGCCTTGTGTGCCATATATCTGTATAATGTTTGTTGCTTTATTTTTTCTTTGCTTCGTGCTTTGAGGCAGAGGATTGGTCCTCCATCTCTTCTTGTGCTTAATGGGGTTTACCATTTTTAACAATTTTTATTTGCTATGAATAATTTTATGGTGAAAAAAAATTCTCATGTAAATTTGTACTATTAGCAAGTAATTTAATGGTATATTTAATTTGCAGACGAGCTGAAGAAATTGCCAAGAAATATTTTCATGACCTTATTTTAGACGACCAAGATCTGTTAGGCACTCCAGAGCTTTGGGATAAAATTCTTGCACTAATCCCTGATCAAACATTACGTGACTCCTTGGGAAAAGCCATGCCAAAGTGCAGTAGCTCAAGACAGCGATGGACTACTATCCAAACAGAAATTACGAAAGCTATCAACAAGGTAATCTTGGCATCTTGTAAAAGATTATAAATGTCAAACTCTTAATTCTGAGGCATGGTGACACTAGCCACCTTCAGTGAAGTGACAGTGATTTAAGTATTTAGTAAAGGGCTGTAATTTAACTAAAGAGAGAGTGGGTGAGATGTTATCAACAAATTTTGTTGAAAATAAGAAAAAGTTTTGGAGTGAGATTAACAAGTTAAGAAAGCCTAGAGAACAAATGGATTTGTCAGTTAAAAATAGGAGAGGAGAGTTATTAAATGGAGAGTTAGAGGTATTGGGAAGATGGAGGGAATATTTTGAGGAATTGTTAAATGTTGATGAAGATAGGGAAGCTGTGATTTCGTGTATAGGACAAGGAGAAATAACATCTTGTAGGAGTGAGGAAGAGCCAGTTGTGAGTGTGGGGGAAGTTCGTGAGGCAGTAGGTAAAATGAAAGGGGGTAAGGCAGCCGGGATTGATGGGATAAAGATAGAAATGTTAAAAGCAGGTGGGGATATAGTTTTGGAGTGGTTGGTGCAATTATTTAATAAATGTATGGAAGAGGGTAAGGTACCTAGGGATTGGCAGAGAGCATGCATAGTTCCTTTGTATAAAGGCAAAGGGGATAAAAGAGAGTGCAAAAATTATAGGGGATAAGTCTGCTGAGTATACCTGGTAAAGTGTATGGTAGAATTATTATTGAAAGAATTAAGAGTAAGACGGAGAATAGGATAGCAGATGAACAAGGAGGCTTTAGGAAAGGTAGGGGGTGTGTGGACCAGGTGTTTACAGTGAAACATATAAGTGAACAGTATTTAGATAAGGCTAAAGAGGTCTTTGTGGCATTTATGGACTTGGAAAAGGCGTATGACAGGGTGGATAGGGGGGCAATGTGGCAGATGTTGCAAGTGTATGGTGTAGGAGGTAGGTTACTGAAAGCAGTGAAGAGTTTTTACGAGGATAGTGAGGCTCAAGTTAGAGTATGTAGGAAAGAGGGAAATTATTTCCCAGTAAAAGTAGGCCTTAGACAAGGATGTGTGATGTCACCGTGGTTGTTTAATATATTTATAGATGGGGTTGTAAGAGAAGTAAATGCGAGGGTCTTGACAAGAGGCGTGGAGTTAAAAGATAAAGAATCACACACAAAGTGGGAGTTGTCACAGCTGCTCTTTGCTGATGACACTGTGCTCTTGGGAGATTCTGAAGAGAAGTTGCAGAGATTGGTGGATGAATTTGGTTTGGGTGTGCAAAAGAAGAAAATTAAAGGTGAATACAGGAAAGAGTAAGGTTATGAGGATAACAAAAAGATTAGGTGATGAAAGATTGAATATCAGATTGGAGGGAGAGAGTATGGAGGAGGTGAATGTATTCAGATATTTGGGAGTGGACTTGTCAGCAGATGGGTCTATGAAAGATGAGGTGAATCATAGAATTGATGAGGGAAAAAGGTGAGTGGTGCACTTAGGAGTCTGTGGAGACAAAGAACTTTGTCCTTGGAGGCAAAGAGGGGAATGTATGAGAGTATAGTTTTACCAACGCTCTTATATGGGTGTGAAGCATGGGTGATGAATGTTGCAGCGAGGAGAAGGCTGGAGGCAGTGGAGATGTCATGTCTGAGGGCAATGTGTGGTGTGAATATAATGCAGAGAATTCGTAGTTTGGAAGTTAGGAGGAGGTTTACCTGGAGTTTACCTGGAGAGAGTTCCGGGGGTCAACGCCCCCGCGGCCCGGTCTGAGACCAGGCCTCCTGGTGGATCAGAGCCTGATCAACCAGGCTGTTGCTGCTGGCTGCACGCAAACCAACATACGAGCCACAACCCGGCTGATCCGGAACTGACTTTAGGTGCTTGTCCAGTGCCAGCTTGAAGACTGCCAGGGGTCTGTTGGTAATCCCCCTTATGTGTGCTGGGAGGCAGTTGAACAGTCTCGGGCCCCTGACACTTATTGTATGGTCTCTTAACGTGCTAGTGACATCCCTGCTTTTCATTGGGGGGATGGTGCATCGTCTGCCAAGTCTTTTGCTTTCGTAGTGGGTGATTTTCGTATGCAAGTTCGGTACTAGTCCCTCTAGGATTTTCCAGGTGTATATAATCATGTATCTCTCCCTCCTGCGTTCCAGGGAATACAGGTTTAGGAACCTCAAGCGCTCCCAATAATTGAGGTGTTTTATCTCCGTTTATGCGCGCCGTGAAAGTTCTCTGTACATTTTCTAGGTCGGCAATTTCACCTGCCTTGAAAGGTGCTGTTAGTGTGCAGCAATATTCCAGCCTAGATAGAACAAGTGACCTGAAGAGTGTCATCATGGGCTTGGCCTCCCTAGTTTTGAAGGTTCTCATTATCCATCCTGTCATTTTTCTAGCAGATGCGATTGATACAATGTTATGGTCCTTGAAGGTGAGATCCTCCGACATGATCACTCCCAGGTCTTTGACGTTGGTGTTTCGCTCTATTTTGTGGCCAGAATTTGTTTTGTACTCTGATGAAGATTTAATTTCCTCATGTTTACCATATCTGAGTAATTGAAATTTCTCATCGTTGAACTTCATATTGTTTTCTGCAGCCCACTGAAAGATTTGGTTGATGTCTGCCTGGAGCTTTGCAGTGTCTGCAATGGAAGACACTGTCATGCAGATTCGGGTGTCATCTGCAAAGGAAGACACGGTGCTGTGGCTGACATCCTTGTCTATGTCGGATATAAGGATGAGGAACAAGATGGGAGCGAGTACTGTGCCTTGTGGAACAGAGCTTTTCACCGTAGCTGCCTCGGACTTTACTCTGTTGACGACTACTCTCTGTGTTCTGTTAGTGAGGAAATTATAGATCCATCGACCGACTTTTCCTGTTATTCCTTTAGCACGCATTTTGTGCGCTATTACGCCATGGTCACACTTGTCGAAGGCTTTTGCAAAGTCTGTATATATTACATCTGCATTCTTTTTGTCTTCTAGTGCATTTAGGACCTTGTCGTAGTGGTCCAATAGTTGAGACAGACAGGAGCGACCTGTTCTAAACCCATGTTGCCCTGGGTTGTGTAACTGATGGGTTTCTAGATGCGTGGTGATCTTGCTTCTTAGGACCCTTTCAAAGATTTTTATGATATGGGATGTTAGTGCTATTGGTCTGTAGTTCTTTGCTGTTGCTTTACTGCCCCTTTGTGGAGTGGGGCTATGTCTGTTGTTTTTAGTAACTGTGGGACGACCCCCGTGTCCATGCTCCCTCTCCATAGGATGGAAAAGGCTCGTGATAGGGGCTTCTTGCAGTTCTTGATGAACACAGAGTTCCATGAGTCTGGCCCTGGGGCAGAGTGCATGGGCATGTCATTTATCGCCTGTTCGAAGTCATTTGGCGTCAGGATAACATCGGATAGGCTTGTGTTAATCAAATTTTGTGGCTCTCTCATAAAAAATTCATTTTGATCTTCGACTCTCAGTCTGGTTAGCGGCTTGCTAAAAACTGAGTCATATTGGGACTTGAGTAGCTCACTCATTTCCTTGTTGTCATCTGTGTAGGACCCATCTTGTTTAAGTAGGGGCCCAATACTGGACGTTGTTCTCGATTTTGATTTGGCATAGGAGAAGAAATACTTTGGGTTTCTTTCGATTTCATTTATGGCTTTTAGTTCTTCCCGCGATTCCTGACTCCTAAAGGATTCTTTTAGCTTAAGTTCGATGCTTGCTATTTCTCTGACCAGTGTCTCCCTACGCATTTCAGATATATTGACCTCTTTTAGCCGCTCTGTTATTCTTTTCCGTCGCCTGTAAAGGGAGCGCCTGTCTCTTTCTGTTTTACATCTACTCCTCCTTTTTCTTAGAGGAATAAGCCTTGTGCATACATCGAGTGCTACCGAGTTAATCTGTTCTAGGCATAAGTTGGGGTCTGTGTTGCTTAGTATATCTTCCCAGCTTATATCGGTTAGGACTTGGTTTACTTGGTCCCACTTTATGTTTTTGTTATTGAAGTTGAATTTGGTGAATGCTCCCTCGTGACTAATCTCATTATGTCGGTCTGGGGCTCCGCGCATACATGACTGAACCTCAATTATGTTGTGATCTGAGTATATTGTTTTTGATATGGTGATATTTCTTATCAGATCATCATTGTTAGTGAAGATGAGGTCTAGTGTATTCTCCAGTCTAGTAGGCTCTATTATTTGCTGGTTTAAATTGAATTTTGTGCAGAGATTTAAAAGGGTCGCGTGAGTGTGAGTTTTCATCAGAGCTGCCTCCTGGTGTTATTACTGCAACAATATTATTTGCTATATTCCTCCATTTTAGGTGCCTTAAGTTGAAATCCCCCAGGAGCAAGATGTTGGGTGCAGGAGCTGGAAGGTTTTCCAGACAGTGGTCAATTTTTAACAGCTGTTCCTGGAATTGCTGGGATGTTGCATCCGGAGGCTTGTAGACTATCACAATGACTAGGTTTTGGTTCTCGACCTTTACTGCTAAAACTTCCACTACATCATTTGAGGCATTTAGCAGTTCTGTGCAAACAAGTGACTCTGCAATGTACAGGCCAACCCCCCCCTTTTGCCTGTTCACTCTGTCACATCTGTATAGGTTGTAACCTGGGATCCATATTTCATTGTCCAAGTGATCCTTTATGTGGGTCTCAGTGAAAGCCGCGAACATTGCCTTTGCCTCTGCAAGCAGTCCACGGATGAAAGGTATTTTGTTGTTTGTTGCTGGCTTTAGACCCTGTATATTTGCAAAGAAGAATGTTATCGGACTGGTGGGATTGTTGGTACTGGGGGGGGATTTTTTTTCCGGCATTAGTATCTGTATCTGTTGGTTTGGAGTGGAGGCCATCGACTGTGGTTCCACTCCAGGAATGACTGGATTTGGTGTACGATTTCTGCCATTTCCTGCCAGTTTTTTTTCCTTCCTGGCACTAAAAAACCTCTCCCTCTTGAGTGGCTGTGGCTACCCAGGTTTTCCCATGGCCTGGATGTTTTGTATCTTTTTGTCCCCTTTAGATGGTATGCCTGGCAATTTAAGTTATAGCACAGTCTTTCCTGTACTGAAGAGGTACACAGTTCAGGGTGAAAAAGCTTACAGGAAGGGAGTTTGCATTTTCCTGTTGTCATATGGGCATGGCATTTCCTAGGGTGGTCATAGTTGCACGTCCCATCTGTTTTTCCAGATTTCCCATGCCAGCAGATACCGAGTGCATAGTATGTGCACAGGCTTGGTTTCCGTTTGCCTTGGGTTTCTGTGACTGTATTCCCTGTTGGTGCATGTTTCCCTGTCTTACTTCTATCCTCCCTAGCACCAACAATGGAGCTCCCACCATTTGTTTTTGGTAATATATCCTCACTATTGCTAGTGGAGTCCTCTTGTTTGCTATTTCCTGCGGTATTTCTAGTTTGCAATATTGGTTTTATCTTATCTTTGACTACACTTGCTTCCCTACTATGGCTCCTGTCCCCTATGCGGTCATTCATATGTATTCCTTCCTGCGTATAATTCCCGACTACCTGGACAAAATCTCCAGCTTCACCATTACTGTCTCCCAGGACAGCATCTCCAGCTTCCCCATTACTGTCTCCCAGGACAGCATCTCCAGCTTCACCGTTACTGTCTCCCAGGACAGCACCTCCAGCTTCACCATTACTGTCTCCCAGGACAGCACCTCCAGCTTCCCCATTACTGTCTCCCAGGACAGCACTATCAGCCCCCCATTTACTGACTACCAGGACATCATCTCCAGCCTTACAGTTTCTGACTACATGGCCAGTATCAAGGGCAGTACCATTCAGCCCGGACTTTTTATGTTCCCATCTGTTGTAGAAAGCTTCCAGGTTTTCTATGAAAGCAGCGGGATTACCAAAACTGTTGTCCAGAGGGCTGAGGAGGGGTTGTTGAGGTGGTTCGGACATGTGGAGAGAATGGAGCGAAACAGAATAACTTCAAGAGTGTATCAGTCTGTAGTGGAAGGAAGGCGGGGTAGGGGTCGGCCTAGGAAAGGTTGGAGGGAGGGGGTAAAGGAGGTTTTGTGTGCGAGGGGCTTGGACTTCCAGCAGGCATGCGTGAGCGTGTTTGATAGGAGTGAATGGAGACAAATGGTTTTTAATACATGACGTGCTGTTGGAGTGTGAGCAAAGTAACATTTATGAAGGGGTTCAGGGAAACCGGCAGGCCGGACTTGAGTCCTGGAGATGGGAAGTACAGTGCCTGCACTCTGAAGGAGGGGTGTTAATGTTGCAGTTTAAAAACTGTAGTGTAAAGCACCCTTCTGGCAAGACAGTGATGGAGTGAATGATGGTGAAAGTTTTTCTTTTTCGGGCCACCCTGCCTTGGTGGGAATCGGCCAGTGTGATAATAAAAAAAAAAATAAAATATAATAATTGTGACAGTAATAATAATAATACTACCTGTACTTTATTTCCTTCTCCATGGGGAAGTGGAACAAAATTCTTCCTCAGTAAGCCATGTGTGTCGTGAGAGGTGAGTAAAATGCTGGGAGCAAGGGGCTGGTAACCTTTTCTCCTGTATACATTACTAAATTTAAAAAGAAAACTTTCTTTTTTCTTTTTAGGTTGACCTGCCTCAGTGGGATGTGACCGGTGTGTTAAAAAAAAACTTCATTTCAAAACTTTATTTACAAAATTCAGTATAATTTAAAAGTAAAAATGGGATGCCATGGTTATGCAGGGCATTTCAAGCAAGCTGTTTGTTGAAAGTGTTGATGCAGTTCTTTGTATTCAAAGGTTTTATGGCAGAATTCCTCTGCAGTTATTGCTTTCTAGCAGAATTCTTTTCCAAGTCATCATTTTTCTAGCATAAGTCCCACCCTCTACTCCTAGTAGATTTATTCTACTTCTTTATTATCCTTCTAATAAAAATGTATTTTACTGCAGTAAAAATCGTCTTACCAAATCTTAAAACATATTTATTACTATAATCTCTTTTATGAGTGTAATATGTATCTGCCTCATTATTTCTGTTTTTAATGCATACTTAAAATTGTACTGTTGTTCATTTAGCTATTGCTCGGTTTTTGTACATTTAAAAACTGTACTTCAGAACTCGACATAGGTTATTAAGTAGGTCTTTAAGCATTAGAATTACTTTGACTGAAATGTACCGCGTGCTAGTGGCTTTCTTTTGTGCTCGACAATATATTTTATTACATGTAAACTACATTATCTGTATTCTGCAAAAAAAAAAAAAAAAATTATTGTATTTTTGTATTTGTATATTTTTCTGTAGGCTGATCACAAAAAGGGTTTGAGACCACACCTTTTGACGGAGATCATTCTTCAGCTGGTGTATCCAAGGCTGGATATCCATGTCACAAAGGGCCTAAACCACTTGCTGAAATCACCCTTCTGCATCCACCCAAAGACTGGATGTGTGTGTGTGTGTTTTGACCCACAGAAAGTAGAGCAATTTAATCCTCTGGCAGTACCAAATTTAAGGTAGGTGGAAGATGTATACTGCATGTCTGAATCGTGCCCATTAAATAATTTAATTATTTGTGTTAAGAGCTAAACCCATGTGGATTGTATCAGTTGGGTGAGAGACAGATACACTTTCTATTTGTACTCGCTGAGACGTCCTCATGCTTATTAAAGATGACAGTTACTGAATCCAAATGTCGTACTGCTGCCAATAATGAAGAAAAGACACAAGCTTTTATTGTAATGCTTCACTGTGTAAAGCTTTATTTATGAAACTTCACTTAGAGCAAGACATTTCCCCAGTAAGAGCTTCCTCTGTGGTCATTTTTGTTTCTTCAAGGCAGTCACTAGTGATGATCTAACAGTTTCTTATTGCATTTTCAGTCAGTTGGTAGAAGAAATCAACAGTTTTGACGCTGGTAAGACAGATGAAGAGCGAGGAGCTATCGCAGAGTACAAAAAAACGTCCATGAAAGAATCTGTACTTTTATTTGAGTCCTTCTTGGCTGCCATAGCAAAGGAAAATGCTATTCGGAGACAGCGTAGTGGTAAGTTATTACATGTAGAATGTGATCATAAGAAATTATAGATGTGTGGTATTTATTGTGTAGTATTAGCAATAAAAAATTTGGTGTAAGCCACCGGGCCAGGTGGCCCAGTGGCTTACACACTAGCTTGGAGTTTTACGATTCACTTGCCATGGGTTCTGACCCCACCCGTACCCTGGTCTATTTGCAATCACGTTATTACGATTTCGTGAGTTATATCTGTAAGCTTAGATTGTATCATTTATGTTATGTTTGTGTGCTTCAAGGGACAGAGTTTGGATAATAGTTGTTCCATGGTATTTTTCTTTGCCCTAATGATATGTGTGTTTCTCTTTTTCCCAAATGGTATTCTCTTTGGCCTCTTCTCCCTCCCTGCCATCCCTTCCCCCCCCCCAAAAAAAAAAAAATAAAAATGTATTCCTTTAATTGCTTTAAGGGGCACGAGTACTCTTTCTGTAGATATTACTTTTAAATGGGGAAAGGCATATAATTGGTCTGTAGCACCATATGATTTGTAGGGTTTAGTGCTCATTTTTAAATACCTGGTAAACCCTTGATTTAATGGACTGATAGAGAGGAACAGATGGCTTGTAATGGCAAGTTTGATAGATGAAAAATGAGATTTTTTCTGTGATCATAACTATAACAAACAATTTTGTAACTAATGGATTTTGTCCTCTGTCCTGGAATCAATTAGTCTAGCAGATTTTGCCATGTATTTCCAAAATCCATTAAATCATAAGTTTACTTACAATAATAATCATAATCCTCTCTGCAGCCAAAAAAGAAAATCCATGTATATCTTTCAGTTCCTCAACTCCTAATAGGTGACAAGGGTAATTTTTTTTTTTAAAGTAATAAAAGAACTAAAAATATTATGTACTTTCATGTAATGCAGTTTGCTGTTTAATATTTATTGCTACCACATCAGCATGGTAAAAAGGATAATTGCTTTTCAAATTCAGTCATGTATCTACTGTAGTAATATTTTCTGTAAAGTTTGAGGTGTTGGTTATTTTACCTTGGTATTTGTGTGTGCTGTGTTTTATTCATGTTTTGTAATATTTATTATCATAATCATGTAGGATTTTGCTTATAATGATTATAATTATTATTATTAAGCACTAAACCTGAAAGGGTCATACAATGCTGTTCATGTTTGTGGCTTATTGTTTAATTTTATCTTTCTTTTAACTGTGTGTTGCATGTTATTATTTTTTTTTTTATTTGTATAAGCACTGGGTCTAGGTACTCTGTAAATATCACACCTACTGCTGCTACAAACTACATCCAGTACCTAACAGTAACTTTTTCTTTTCAGAAATGTATTTGGACTTTTAAGAAGTGGGGTGCAGAGCAAGATGGTACTGTGTTGTTCATGAATAAATTTGTAGGAAAAAATACCTGTATGAATAATGGCCCCAGATGCATGTAGAAGGGAAGGATCACCAAGAGTAAATTAAGATGGACTTAACTTACTAGTAAAACATACATATTTACAGTTTATTTTAAATCTTAATGTACAGTATAAGGCTCTTTACTTATTTTTTTGAAGTATGAAAATTTGTTTAGTGCACTGAGTTTCATGGCTTTTAAACTTGTAAATTATTTCCATCATAGATCTTATTCTGTAGTATCCTACTGAATTTTTTAAGCGAGGTTCTTCAGTATCAACTTGGGCACTAACATATGTAGTTAAATATTATGAATGGCTGTGATTGTATCTGCTGCATATATTTTAATTTGTTAGATTTTTTAAGAGGACTTTCTAACAAATTCAGCTGGTGGATAATAATAATGCTGTAAAAGATACTTGGGTGTTTATTTATAATTCCACAGGAGCACAAGACAAGGAGTCTTCTATCCTTTCCCATTTACTCTCACAGTTTTCTTCATTCATGCTTACAATTACACTGATTCCTTCCATGGCAGTAATGGTGTCAGGAGAAAAGGACAGTTATGACAAAGAAAGCTCAAAGATGGGAAGAGAATATGAAATAAATGGAGGCTCTAGAGAGTAAAATGAGAAGGAGGGTAAAAGGAGCTGTAATTAGGTAGGAACAGAGGAATTGGGAAGAAATGAGAGAAAATTCATTAGCAGAGATATTCTGAGAAAAATAGGTGGTAATAAGCTGCAATGAAACTGGTAACAATAGACAATGCAGACAGCAATAGAACTGTTGACAACAGACAACACAGACAGCAATAGAACTGTTGACAACAGACAACACAGACAGCAATAGAACTGTTGACAACAGACAATGCAGACAGCAATGGAACTGGTGACAACAGGCAATGGAGACTACAATGGAATTTGGTGACAACAGGCAATGCAGACACTAATGGAACTGGTGACAACAGTGTAGACAACACTGGAATTGGTGACAACAGACGATGCAGTCTGGAGGAAAAGGAACACCACTAATGATCTATAGATGGAAGGATGAACATCAGATTATATCAGTCATTGATTGTACATTATTATTATAATCAAAATCAAGCACTAAACCCACTAGAGTCATACAGGATTGCCTGAGTATAGGAAAGGATGAAGAATCAGAGCAGGTGGAAAATTTTTAGGACCGTGAAGCATTCCCAGTGCAAACAGTGCCTGATCAACTAACTTGGTCACATGTATCGCAAAACAGGTCTTGAAACAAAGTATTTTTGGGGAGTACAAGATATGAGATATTATTATTTCAATCAGGACTAGGTGCTAAACCCACCAGTGTCATGCATAACTGCAGGGTGGGATGTACTAAAGATATACTGTCCTAGGACAGAGACTAGTGAAGGTAACGAGTATACCAGAGGTAGAATCAGTAAGGGTGGCGAGAAGTACTAAAGGGAAAGTAAAAGAAAAATCGGTGACAAGATACAAAAAAAACTCTGGTGTAATACTTTTCAAATAATGGGCAAAATCTGCTGGGTAAATTGTATTTTTAATTCCTTTATTTCCAATATTTATTACAGTAAATCTGTAAATTATGTGTAGAGTACTGTACTGGAGTGTTTTATGTTTGCTATTTTTAATATTCTGTATTCTCAGACACCCCCTCCCTATTATGTAATTTGTTATATAGAGGGTGTGCTGTATCACCACTTTTTTTTTAACAGCACATTTGCCATTTCCCACAGAGGCAGGGTGACTGGAGGATAAAAGAACTGGAAGGATAAAAAAGCTCTGAGGACTTGATAGAATACATCCTCTTCTCACTTAGCAATGTACTCGTTTACTGATGACTCGGACTTACGATGGGCTTTCTGACCAGTATGCATACCTAAATAATGTATATTAGAGCTGATTTCCTTTATTCTACTTATTATAATATACAGTACACTACTGTATAAACATTTAAAAATATACCAAAAATATTATAATTGGTGCAAAGGTGACATTAAAACAAAAAGATGGTTGACGACCCAAACCCACTACCATTATAGTATGCTCCTTACTTAGTGACATTCGTTTACAGATGTGTTCATAGGAATGGAACTCCGTCATTAAGTGAGGAGAGGCTGTATTTTCTTATTGGAGGGGGATGTGGATGAGGTTATGGATAATCCTGTAGGTTTACAGTAGGTTACGTTAGGAGGAGTAAGTTAGGTTTAGAGGGGGGGGGGGGCTAGTTTTAGGTCCTGTCATGAAGGGTTAGGTTCATCAAGGCTAGGTTAAAGAGAAATTAGATGGGGTTGGGTTTAAATTAAGCTGCTCGATTGTAATGCAGCCTACCTGAAGTTTGTGTATATGTGGCTCTTTTATCCTAATGTAGTTTGAATAGAAAAAGCATGCAAGATTTTTTCCAGAGATGTATCTTTAACTATATATATACGTACTGGGGTGCTTTGATAAACTACATCTCTGCAAATTTACTTTAGAAACTGACTTGTGGAATATATCATTATTTTAAGAGTAACTTTTACTTACTTATGCATGAATTCCTGAATGCATTCATTTAGTACACCTTTTTAGAAAACATTTCGGTCCTTGCACCTTTATCATTTCAATTACATGAGGAGTATTTAGAAGAGACAGGCTAGTAGTAGTAGTACTGGTGATGATATTAATAGCAACTGGCAGTAAATGAATGTGGCAAGGTAATGCTAATCATTTATTATTTCTGGGGGTCAGTAGATTGTGTAGAATGATTTAAGTTCTGCATCTGCAACTCCTGGATTAACCCTTTCAGGATCCGTGCCGTAGATCTATGGCTTTACGTTCAGGGTTTAAACCGTAGATCTAAGCTGTGAGTGGTAAATTTGGGCCTAGATATGAGAGAATACATCTATGTGGTATGTGTGCACCATATAAAACATCCTGCAGCACACAGTGAGAAAAAAAACAGACCGTGATTTTCGATTAAAACAGCGAATTTGCAGTGTTTTTTCGTATGTTTTTTATAGTTGTATTTGCGATTTCTTGGTCTCATTTGATAGAATGGAAGACATATTACAGAAATAGAGATGATTTTGATTGGTTTTAGCACTGGAAATGGCTTGAAACTGAGCACAAAGTAGCGGAAATGTTAAATTTTTGCTAATGTTCAAGAGTAAACAAACGACCTCACACGTCTAATACATGCCAGCTGGTGGGTCTAATATACATTCACAAATGTGGTGATGATATTTATACAATTATTACAATATTGCATAACATTAAATCTTCTATTTTTTGGTTTGAATAAAAATTCATTATGTGAATAAAAAATCAAAATGGAATTCATTTGTAAAGCCTCAAAACGTAACTAATGAACAGAGAAAATGTTAGTTTAGTGTCAGGAATACCTACATTGTTTATTCTGGACCCTATTTTGAAATTGGAATATTGTGAACTTTGTGTTAAATTGGCCAAATTACCAATTTCCGATCACTTTATTTTTTAGTTGAAACAGTTGACTTGGCGATTTCTTGTGCTCAATCGATAGAATAGAAGTAATACTAGTGAAATAGCTAAGAATTTGGTCGACTGGAATAATGTAATTGGCCTAAAATGGGAGTCAAAGTTAGCAAAATCGCCAATTCGTAAATATCACTGACACATCAAAATTTGCGAGAGCATAATTTGGTCAATTTTCCATCAAATTTTGTACTTCTTGTTTTATTACCTTCACAAAAAGATTCTCTACCATTTCATAAGAAAAAATAAATTTTTTTTTTGAAAATTCTTGGACACTGGTGTGCACTTTGAAATTTGGCCTCTGGACCCTGAAAGGGTTAAATGAGAGTAAATGAAGACAAGTAAATATCTGTTAAGTGTAGGTGCATTTTACAGCCATTTTCTTGTCTCACTTCCCTCTCATTTTATCCATGTTTTGGAGATGCAGAACTCAAACCATTCTACACAATCCACCAGGGGTAATAAAATATTTCTAGTGTTACCTTGTTGTGATGTAGCTACACACACCTTACAAGCTCTTGCCAAAAGAAATGTCCAAAGTCACCATATAAAAATGCCCACAGCAGGTACAACATTAGCAACATCAGTCATACAGTACACAGACGTACTGAGGCACATTTCATGGATTGGCAAAATGCTAAACTAATCTATTGGGAACCATATTTAAGGCAATGAAGATGCCCTGAATCTTCACTCATTGCCACCTCCAGCACCATTGCTCAGAAAGCTGGAAGTTACAATACTTCCACATGACAACCATTATGAGAAACTTCTCTATTTCTAGCATCTCACCGACTACTATCAGTTACCATTAATGATACCACTACTACTCTCTCCCGCATATGTGTAGAAATATAGTCTGTCTTCTTTCATACTTCTCATGTATTTGAAGAGATCACAGTCCAAGGACTGAAATGTTTTCAATAAACATATCCTAAGTGACTGCATTTGTGTCCATTTCCTTGAGGTTGTCAGCAGTCATTTGGTATTTAACTACATCTCTCTCTCTATTACTAAAACAAGTGCGGTAGTAAAAATTAAAACTATTATAATTGTTTATTAGGAACATTACATTTGAAAAACTTTTGACATTCTCAACACGAGCACAATGAAGCCATTACTATTAGGAAAGGAGCAGATTCGCTCAGAAACCAGATATTTTATATAGAACATTAACTTGCATTTTCCAAACCCTTATTCCTTGATATGGTTAAATATTATGCTGTATTTCATAAGCAACAAAGCCATGGGTAGGATTAATCACAGCTCTAGGTCTTTCCAGTCTCATTAGTCAGTCATAAAGAGCTGGCACTTCGAAGGGAATCGGAGTGGATAATTTTGGTAGCAATAATGTATTTACTCCGCACGTTCACTTCAAACAGAGCAAGAGCTCAATTATCTATTTCTGATTCCTTCCATGTGTCAGGTCCTGGTGCTATGTATTAATCATTCCCATGGCTTTGCTGCTTATTCATTATCACTCATTTGTGATAACCATTTCACTGTACATATTACATATTTTCCTGGGTAAGCTCTAAACTCATAGTGGTCATCCAGCACCTGAATGTGGCTAATATTTCCAGATCTCTTCTCCTTAAGTGCACAAATAAAAAAAAAACAAGACGAAGGGGTGCCTTGATTCTGATCATGTCACATTCCACCATAAGACTCCTATAAGCTTACCATTTTCTCCCCCAAAATCTGACTATTTTTACTTTTGTGAATTTCATAGTTGAAAAATAGGTACTAGCATTTGTAAGAACTGCCAGCCTTCAGGAGGTCATGATACTAATGAAGGACTTTTCATTCAAGGAACTGGAGGTACCCTCACCTTCCTTGGATGATACCTGATTGTCTCTTGATTCACCAGGAACATACCTGCTTTACAATGACACAGAACTTATATAGTCATGTA